CCCGCTAACAGGGTACTGACCCTGCCGGCTCCAGGGGGCTGGCATTCGGAGGGTTTGATTCTTTTGGGGCTGTAGTTAAAAAAGCCTTTCCTTTCCTCGATCTCCCAGGAAAACGGGACATAAGGCAGGGAAAAGGTACGACACAGGCGCTGTTTGGCTCCACCTGCAGAGCACACGCAGCGATTAAAGCAAATTAAACCCACACAAACAGCTTTGGTCCCAAGGATTTGTCGATTCCTGAAGGGAAATCCGGGGAGAAGCAGAAGGAACACAAAGCAGGGAGCTGGGGGAAGAGCTGGGGTGGCATTTCCACCCCTCCTCAGCCACTCCCATCCCATCATCCTAAGGAGGAATCCTCACCCAGGCACCGGCTCAGAGGGATAAACAACAACAACAACGGCGGGCGAGGATTTGAACACCCTGCCCTGAAACATTCCCGGTCCATTCCCGTTTTTTAAACATTTCCCATCCCACACCCTTGATTTGGCTTTTCTTTTTGGTGGTGGTGGTGGTTTTCCCTGCAGGTCATTTTGTAAAACAAATAGAATATATTAAAAGGATAACAATAAGGATATCAAACCAAGCCTGGAGCTGCTCCATCAGGAGATGGGAAAAGGGCCCCTGGGAAATGTGTGTTACCAGGAACAGCCTTCAGATGCTCCTTGAAATCCCAATCCCACCTTCCCAGATTTTGGCTCTTCTGAGCCCTGAGCTGATGGAAACACAGGCTGGGAAAGGGATTTTTGAATGGAGGCTTTAAAAAAATCCAACTCACAGGGAGAATAATCACTCCAAGCGACACAATTCCATCCCTTCCCAGCAGCAGGAAAAGCTGCCACACTCAGATCCTGCTGAATTCCACCTCCTCTAATTCCACCTTCCCAGCTCTCTTCCCTCAGGCTACAGATGTAGAAGCAGCAAAAGCTTAAGGAATCCAGCCCAGGGAGGAAAATTATCCAGGGATAAGTGTGCCAGCTGGACTGGCCACGGGTCAGTGTCATATCCACACCCTTGGGATGGGAACTCATGGACATGGGAGTTTGTCTGGACATCATTTCCCCTGGATTTTCCTGTGGATTTCCAGTGGGATGGAGGTGGGGAGGGAAATGGGGATACTGGTACCTCATGGAGCAGCTGCCTCTGGAATCATCCTGGTTTCAGTTATACTGGGGGAAATGGTGGGTTAAGCAGCTCCGGCCATTCCCGCTTCCCAGTCGCTCCCACACCGGCTGCTGCTCCACTGGGATCAGCAAAAGACCAGGAATAACCCCACAATCGTGGATTTGTGGCTTTTCAGGGAACTCAAACAGAGGAGGAGACACCTCTTTGGAGCAGAGCTGAGCCCTGGATCCCAAACTGTCTGTATTCCCATATCCCAAGAGCTGTCAGGGAGGAGACCTCCAGCTCGAAAATCCCTCCTTTCCCATGGGATAATCTGCTCCTGATCCTGCCCCTAGATCCCACCCCAACACCCCCCACCTCTCTGAGAGGAAACACAAAGCCGGGATGGAGCTGGAACAGGGGAACACACCCCAAAACTCGGGATCTGTCACTTCCCACTCGGGCAAAGCCTGAACCAAACAAACTGCCTTGTCTTTCATCCCCAGGTCAAGCACAAGGATTTAAGGTGCAGTTGGTGCCCGAGGGTGGAATTGTCAGTGCTGATGGAGCAGAGTGTGACGGAGCAAGGGCTGCAAAAGGAACGGGAATGACAGGCAAGGGGAGCGGCACATCCAGCAGATCAGTCACAGCACAGCAGGGGGGCCTCGCAACACCTCGGCTCTTTCCAGACAGTCAATCCCTGTTAAATTCTTTGGGAAAGGAGGGGGGGGCAGCCAAAGCTCCTCTCTCCTGTGGAGACACTGGAATATGCAGCCGAATCCCACTTGGGATGGGGATTGTGTCCTGCTGCTCCCCACAAACCTGGGGATGGACGTGGATCCCTGAACCTCTTCATTCCCCTGGCATTTCCTTTTATATGTCCTTGATATGTCCTTTGGAAGCAAGGAACAGGACAGGGAATGGGAACTGGACATGGCGGGCCCCAACTCCAACAGCTCCTGTGTACTCCCAGCAGGGATTATCCCTCCCCTTTGCACAAAGGAGCTCTGGATATCTCACCATGGATATCTCACCATGGGATAATTCCTTCTTAAGAGCAAGGTGAGAAGAGCAAAACCTCGAATCCATGACTGGAATCATGGAATCATCTGGGTTGGAAAAGAGCTCTGAGTTCACAGAGTCCCAGCTGTCCCCCAGCACTGCCAAGGTCACCACAAATCCACGTCCCCAAGTGCCACATCCACAGGGATTTGAAATCCCTCCCAGGGGTGGGGACTCCACCACTGCCCCGGGAAGCTCCTTCCAATGACCTCTCCATGAAGGAATTTTCCCAATATCCAACTTAGACCTCCCCTGGAGCAGCTTGAGGCCCCTGAGGACACCGTAACTGATCAAAGGATCCATCAACAGGCAGATCCCAAAAGGCTCTTTTAGGACTTTTAAAGTGCCAGGATATCCTTGGATTTTCCCAAGGGCAGTTCACAGCTTCACACACCAGCAAGGAAAAGTGTGCTGGGAGGTATTCCAAGATGTGGGAGCTTGGATACATCCACAACAGGGAGGCAGAGATGGACACCTTATCCCAGGGAGGCCAAAGCCAGTGGAGGATCTCCTGGGATGGATCCACCACTGTTTCCCTGTGGCTTTGCTTCTCCAAGACCAACACAAGCTGGAACAACATCCCTTTTCCCTGGAATAACATCCCTTTTCCCTGGAACAACCCTCCTGCTTCCAAGGGGTCCCCCCCTTACCTGCTGTGTGCAGGGGTGTCCTCCTGATGGTGCTCTCCGTGTCCCAGATCCCTGGGGACACATCCAGGAGGTAGCGGAGCACCTCGGGGTGCCCCTCCCTGCTGGCAATGTGGAAGCAATTCCAGCCATCCTTGTTCCTCAGCAGCGGGTTGGCTCCGTGCTCCACCAGGGATCTGATCACCTGCAGGTTGCTCCTGGTGCAAGCCATCATCAGGGGAGTCCTGCAGGAAAACCCGGGACTCGAGTCAATGGAACAACCTGGGAGCAGCAGGCCCGATGGCCCACCTGGATCCAGGTGCACGGGGGGATCCAGGGATTTTACAGCTCTGCTTTTCCATGCAGGGAACACAGAGTGCAGCTCCTTTTCCACACAATCCCTCAGAGCACTGTGTGTTTTTAAGGCAAATAAGGCTTTTTCCAAAGGTTAGGATGCACCTAGATCCTGGGGTATTTTAATCCACGGATGGAAGGGCACTGTGGGCCCGTGACACAAATCCATGCACAGGCAGCTCATGGAATCTCGGCCTCCCTCTGATGTCAGATCCAGGCTGGCACAGCCTCAATTCCCAGCACTGGAATGCTGCCCTCTGGAATTGCGTCAGTTCAGCTCTAAAGGAGCTGCCTGGGCTTTGACTCGGGAGGAGTAATTTATAACTTTTAGGAGAAACAGGGGGAAATCAGTGATAAGGCTGGAATGTATCCCAGAAAGACACTGGATCCTGGGCTCATCCCACAGTGTGGACAACAGGAGAGGAGGGAGGGATTCTCCCTCTTGGCCCTGCTCAGGTGAGATCCCACATGGAATTCAGGTCTGGGGTCCTCAACAGCAGAAGGATATGGAGCTGCTGGAGCAAATCCAGAGCTGCTCCCAGGGCTGGATCCCTCTGCTCTGGAGCCAGGCTGGGACAGCTGGGAATGTTCATCCTGGAGAAGGGAAGGATCCAGGAGACCTGAGAGCCCCTGGCAGGGCCTAAAGGGGCTCCAGGAGAGCTGGAGAGGGACTGGGGACAAGGGATGGAGGGACAGGACACAGGGAATGGCTTCCCAGTGCCAGAGGGCAGATGGGATATTGGGAAGGAATTCTTCCTTGTGAGGGCATGGACTGGATTTCCCAGAGCAGCTGTGTCTACCCCTGGATCCCTGGGAGCGTCCAAGGCCAGGCTGGAACAACCTGGCATAGTGGAAGGGTTGGAACTGGAGGTTTAGGATCCCTTTTTAAGGTCCCTTCCCACCCCAACCATTCCACGATTCCACATTCCCCACCCAGAAATCCCTCGGCCCCCGCTCCCAGACCCACCAGTCGCCCTTTTTCAGGCAGTCCACACCGGCCCCGCTCTCCAGGAGGAAGGACACGCAGTCCCCGTGTCCCATGGACGCCGCCTCATGGAGGGGCCTCTTGTAGTCGGCGTTGGCCGCCTCCACGTCCATCCCCAGCTCCCGCACCAGGAACTCCAGCACATGTCTGTGCCCCAGGCGTGCTGCATGGTGCACCAGGGTGTCCCCCAGCCGTCCCCAGCGCCAGCTCCTGGCCTCGGGAACATCCTCTGGGCTCAGCTCGGCCCTCAGCAGCTCCAGCCTCCCCTCCTGCACCAGCCGCAGCAGCCGCCGCCGCCCCTCCCGCTCCGCCATGGGACAGCGCTGGGGAAACACTGGGATTAGGGGGGAAAGGGAGGGATAGCGGGGCTGGGGCAGGGGGCTGCGATAACCAGGAAGGAGGTTTTCCCTCAGGGAAAGCAGGACTTGGCCTCTGCCTCGAGGAATCTCCAGGGAAACAGGGGTTTGCTTTCTCCTAAGGAATTCACAGAATGGCGTCTCCCTCAGGAGGAGCAGGAGTGAGTTCCCTTCTCCCTCAGGGTAAGTAAAAACTCCCTTTTCCCTCAGGATAACTAAAAATTCCCTTCACCCTCAGGATAACTAAAAATTCCCTTCTCCCTCAGGATAACTAAAAATTCCCTTTTCCCTCAGGATAACTAAAAATTCCCTTCTCCCTCAAGATAACTTAAAATTCCCTTTTCCCTCAGGATAACTAAAAATTCCCTTCTCCCTCAGGATAACTTAAAATTCCCTTTTCCCTCAGGATAAGTAAAAATTCCCTTCTCCTTCAGGATAATTAAAATTTTCTTTCCCTCAGGATAAACAGGAATCTCCTTCTCTCTCAGGATAATTAAAATTTTCCTCCTCCCTCAGGATAACCTGAAATTTCCTTCTCCCTCAGGATAAGTAAAATTTTCCTTTTCCCTCAGAATTATTAAAAATTCCCTTTTCCCTCAGGATAACCAGGAATTTCCTTCTCCCTCAGGGTAATTACAATTTTCTTTCTCCCTCAGGATAATGAAAAATTCCCTTTTCCCTCAGGGTAATTAAAATTTCCTTTCTCCCTCAGGATAATTAAAATTTTCCTTTTACCTCAGGATAATTAAAATTTTTCTCTTCCTTCCAGAAAATGAGGAATTTCTTCAGGCAAACCAGGAATTTCCTCCCCCTTTATGAAATCCAGGAACCAGCCACTGCCTTGGTAAACCAGAAATCTCCTCTTCCCTTGGGAAAACTGGGAAGTGATCTCTCCTTCCAGAGAGTAAGATTTGCTTTTCCTCAGAAAAAAACAGTATTTGGGTTTTCCCTTGGGAAAACCAGGAGATTCCTTTTCCCTTGGGAAATACAGGAACCAAAGGTTCCCTCTGGAAAAGTAGAAAAGCAGGATCCAACCTCTCCTTCAGGAAAAGAAGGAACTGCCCTATCTTTTAGGAGCAAAGAAATTCCCTTTATCCTTAGGAAAACCAGGAACCAGCTTCTGCCTCTGGGGAAAAAATAAAACAAAACAAAACAAAATTAAAAAAAATAATAATAAAAAAAAAGCAAACCAAAACAGAAATTTCCTTTTCCACTGAGAAAAAAAGAAATGTCTTTTTACCCACTGGAAAAACAAAGTGAATTTTCCTCAGGAGAAGGAAGTTCTTTTCCCTCAAGAAAACCTGGAAATTCCTCAGGAAAAATTTCCTTTTCCAACAGGAAAAATGGAACCCAAACTTTCCCTCCAGAAAACCAGAAAATTCCCTTTTCCTCAGGAAAATCAGGAACCCGTCTCCTCCTCAGGAAAAACAGGTATTCCTCTTTTTTTTTCCCCAGGAAAACCAGGAAGGGGCCTCTTCCTCCAGAAAATCTGTAAGTCCTCTTTTCCCCTCAAGAGCTGTCAGAAAATGGACCTTCCTTCAGGAAAAGCAGAAATTTCCTTTCCCTTCAAAAAATCCTGGATTCTTCTTTTCCTTTAGGAAACCCAGAAACCGCCCTTTTCTCCTTGGAAAAACAAGGAAATCGCCACTCCCTCGGGGAAAACGGGATTCTCCTTTTCCACCTGGAAAAACGGGAATCGGCACCTCCCTCAGGAAAAAGAGGAATTTAATCTGCCCTCGGGAGAATCAGAAAGCGGCCTCTCCCTGTGGAAACACGGACATTCCCATTCCCCTCAGGAAAACTAAAAAAAAAAAAAATCCCTTTTCCTCTTAGGAAAACCAGAAGGCAGCTGGAAATCCAGAGATTCCCTTTTCCCTCTAAAACCCGGGAGGAATTCCCTTTCCCCTCCAAAACCCGGGAGGAATTCCCTTTTCCCTTTAAAACCCGGGAGGAATTCCCTTTTCCCTTTAAAACCCGGGAGGAATTCCCTTTTCCCTTTAAAACCCGGGAGGAATTCCCTTTTCCCTCCAAAACCCGGGAGGAATTCCCTTTTCCCTCGGGAGAAGCGCGAACTCCCTTCACGCCGCGGGAATCCCGGGATCCCTCAGCGCAGGACCCCCCCAGGTTTCCCCCCTTTTCCCTCATTCCCACCCCACGGGATCATTCCCGGCTTTTCCAACCCACCCGCGCGCCGCGGTGACGTCACAGCCGGGGACGTGACGTCACCGCCGTGGCCGGCGGGAAACATCCCCGGGCCCGGCCCAACCCGGAAGTGAAGCGCTACTGGTCAGCCCCGGGGGCGAGGCGGTCTCTGATTGGTCGAGGGCGGGGAGGGGCGGGGCCGGCGGAGCGCGGGGTCGAGAGCAGCGGCAGGGGGTG